GAAGGAAGGAAGGAAGGAAGGAAGGAAGGAAGGAAGGAAGGAAGGAAGGAAGGAAAAAGAATTTGAACTCTTTAATCTTTTTTTATAGCTAAAAATCAAATTTGGCTGTGATATTTGTGGTGCTTAAATTTGTTTATCTCTGTTCTTTGATTTTTAAATAGAAGGAGTCTCAAAAGAATGATAAAGATTTGAAGATACTAGAAAAAGAGGTAAGCAATGCTTTCAACTTAATTGAAAAATAAATGTGCTATAAAATGCAGAGTGACTTAGAGTTAAGAGACAGGTATTCTGTTGCAGTTTGGGGAGTTGCGTAGCAAGGCAGATAATCTGTCCAGACCAGTGCCTGCGAGGTAACTATTCTTTTTTTTTTTTTAATTTTTTTTTTTTATGTTTATTTATTTTTGAAGGAGAGAGAGAGACAGAGTGTGAGCAGGGGAGGGGCAGAGAGAGAGGGGGAGACACAGAATCGGAAGCAGGCTCCAGGATCCGAGCTGACAGCACAGAACCCGACGCGGGGCTTGAACTCACAAACCGCGAGATCATGACCTGAGCCGAAGTCGGACGCTTAAACCGACTGAGCCACCCAGGTGCCCCATATTCTTTAGCTTTATTAGATACTAAGTTTCGGAGCCTGGTGGTCAGTGTGGTATGCTGACAGTGTCAAGTTTGTTAGGGGCAGATTCAAGATTACCCACTCTATGAAAAATTGATCACTAAAAATTAATATATTGCTATATTGCAATTATGCATGTGTCAAATATTTACATTTACTCAGTGCACACGCTTCCTGTATGCTAATGTTTATGTTAAGACAGTGACTAGCTAGAGAATTTCTTAGCATGAAATCCTAGCAGGTTAGTTGAATTGTGAAAGAGTTGTGCTAATCCTACACATCCTCTGCTCAGTAAGTTATATATGCCTTATTTAAGGATAAAATGGAGCTGGAGGATAAATCTGGAGCTATCCTGTCCAGTATGGTAGCCACTCACCATTTGAGACTTATTTAAATTAAGTAAAAGTAAGAACTCAATAGTTCAATTGCACTAGTCACATTTTAAATGCGCTGTAAGCACTCCAGTGAGTGGCGCCCATACTATACAGTACATTTCCACCATGGCAGAAGTCTCTACTGAGCAATGCTGACCTAAAGAGTCCACTTACTTCCCTAAGCAGGAGTAAGATGGTCACTACCAGTTTTGCTTCTCTAGCAGTTTTCTTTCCATGTTTACATTGCTGACCAACTCTTTTTCTAGTGTACATATTCTTATGACATATTAAAACTTTCCAGTGATTACAGTTAAATGTTAGCTTAGGACCAAGAATACGTCAACATAGCTTTGCAAATCTCTGCCCTGGTTGCTCTGATTCTTTTAGTATTTAATTATGCTGGCCATCATTTTATTGAGGATACATGCCTACAATGTAGGGGTTAATACTTAGGTGATAACTGAGTCTCAGTTAACTGGTAAGTGAGTGGCAGTGCCAAGATTAGAACTGATAATTTGCATCAGTTTCTTAATCGTTTAGAATAGAAAGGTTTTTTTAAGTTTATTTTTGAGAGGCGCAGAGAGAGAGGGAGAGAGAGAGAGAGGGAGAGAGAGAGAGAGAGAGAGAAAGAATGAATCCTAAGCAGGCTCCACACTGCCAGTGAAGAGTTCTATGTGGGGCTCAATCTTGCAACCATGAGATCATTACCTGAGCCGAAATTAAGAGCCAGATGCTTAACTGCCTAAGCCACCCAGGCACCATTAGAATAGAGATTTTTTTTTTTTACAAATAGAGCTCTTTTTTATTTAAGCCCCATAGTATTTGTTGTTTGTTTATTTAATTTGAATTAATTATCAATATTAAGAAGTAACATTTCATGTAAAACGTTCAGATTTCTGGCTTATGTTGCAAAATCAGACGATCTGAGGACACTGTTTCCACTTTCCACTACAGGGCAACAATATGCTAGGGCTTTGCAGGGCTGCCTCCTTTATACTCCACATTTGCTCCTCAGTCCTCACCTGGCTCTCTCTACTTATTTATATTATCTGCTTGGCCACATAGGCATTTGAGTGTACAAACCCTTTTTTTGAAGCTTAAACTTCCTTAACTGCAAAAACCTGTAAAGATAATCTCAGTGTTCTTTTTCCTAGTTTATAATATTTTGCTATAAATGTTGCTTATAAACCAATAATATAAGCGTAGAGAATCTTCTGGTAGGGAACCTTAAAGCTCATTCAATCACTAGCATCTAGTTCATAGCCATATATATACATATGGTGTTTGATACATTTTTAGGTAAGCATTTTTGGCCTAAAATACTGAGATTAGTATCAACACAAAGTCAGTTAAGAAAGAGTAGGAAATACTTCATGTGACTTAATACAACTGTGCTGTTTCGATGCTTTTGTACCCAACAAATAATCTATTTTGGTAAATGTTTTATGTGCACTAGAAAAGAATGTATATGTACTTGTTGGTACAGTTTATATATGTCAGTTCAATATGTTTAAAAGTTTTGTACTGATATTTTTGTCTGTTTATTAGCTAGAGAAAGAGGTACTTTCTCATTTCCACCTCATACATACACCTATGTAATGTACACAATATGCATTTTGCTTTGTATATTTTGAACTTAAAGTTGCACAACAAATTTGATTGTATCTTCCTCTTGAAATGACCTTTCCATTATAAAATTCCTTCTTTATCGCTAATGATACTTTCTGCCTTAAATGTCTACTTTGTATCATATTAATAAGGGCATCCCATCTTTCTTTTGTTTAATATTTACATGGTACATCTTTCCTGACCCATTATTATGTCTCTCTATGTCCTTATTTTTTTTTTAATTTTTTTTTTTAACATTTATTTATTTTTGAGACAGAGAGAAGACAGCATGAACGGGGGAGGGGCAGAGAGAGAGGGAGACACAGAATCGGAAGCAGGCTCCAGGCTCTGGGCCATCAGCCCAGGGCCTGACGCGGGGCTCGAACTCACGGACCGCAAGATCGTGACCTGAGCTGAAGTCGGATGCTCAACCGACTGAGCCACCCAGGCGCCCCTGTCCTTATATTTAAAGTGCAAATCTTGTAAATATCTGGGATCATTTTTGTTGAGCCTACACACTCCTTTAGTACCTTTTGTTCTGCAGGCTATTGGCAAATCCTCTCAGCTTTTCTTTTCTCGTAAGACATCGTCATGTCACCTTCAAATTTAAAGGATATTTTCCTTGGGAACAGAATTTTAGATTGGTACTTTTCCCCTTATATTAAACAAATCATTTCATTGTCTCCTGACTTCCACATTTTCTGTTGTCAGGTGGTTTTGATTTTGGTTTTGGTTTTGATCTCATAATTGCAACAAGAGTGGTGGCTTACTGATCACTCCTATTGTAGTGCTTACTATATCCTACACAGAAGCCCCATTCTGCCTTCTTGAAATAAAAAAGATAGTTAGCATTTCAAACTATAATTTGAGTTCATATAACTAGAACTAGAGAAAAGAAGAACTCTTATAGGTAGAAATACCTTAAAAGTGAACAGTTTAATTATACCTGGAAGCTTACAACAATTAAAATCCTCTCTTCTTAAAATGCTTACAGATTTAAGTTCTTACAGATTTTTAAAACATATAAATATGAATGTTCAAACAGCTAGTGAAATCAGAATATTTAACAACATCATGTCACAAAGCTTTTTCTAGAATTTGAATGTTTTATTTTCAGTAGCATCTAGTTACATTGGCATTGTATTGGTAAATCATTCATTTATCACCTTGTTTCCGTCCAGATTCGTGTTCTCGTGCAGGAACGTGGTGCTCAGGATAAGCGGATCCAGGATCTGGAAGCCGAGTTAGAGAAGACAGAGGCTAAGCTAAATGCTGCAGTCAGGGAGAAAACATCTCTCTCTGCAAGTAATGCTTCACTAGAAAAACAGCTTATTGAATTAACCAGGACTAATGAGCTACTAAAATCAAAGGTATTTAAATCTCATGGTAATGTTTACAACTGAATAAGTTATAAACATGTTGTAGGTTTTTTTTCTTATATCTTGAGAATTTTAGGCTCTAGTTTAGCCTTTTTCCTTTACCAAATGTACCTTAAATGTTAAGCTGCTTCCAAGAAGAATTATCATTGTCTTTTTTATTATGGTATCTGACACATAAGAAATGATAAACAAGTTGCTTTTTGTTTTAATGTCTGACATTTTCTCACCCTCCTTCAAAGTCACTCCTAATAAATAAGGGCATTAATAAAACTTGTAGAATTTATGTCTAGAAGTCACTAGATCTTTCTCTGAAATAAATAATCACATGACAGGCTTCCATTTCAAATCCTTTTGGGATTGAAGTGGGAAATGAATAAATTTGTGGATTAAATGTGTTTAATAGATATTCTGTTTATAAATATTTTATTTAATATTAGTATTAATAATATTATACTAATAGATCATAAAGGACATAGCACGGTCATTTGCTTTTGTCAGAAGTAAAAGGAGGCTGTACGTCACTGTTCAGTTTAATAGCAGTCATCTATTCAGAGCCTGTAACGTGTTGAGCTCTTTGAGTGAGGATGCGTATGAATCAAGCTTAGGGAAAAAAGCAGATTCCTGGGCCCCATCCAGGGAGATTCTGATTTAGTTGGCCTGGGATGAACTGTATAGTCTACATATTTCAAAATAGACTAGGCAGTTTAGATGCATTTTGTTAAGCAAGCACATATTACAAAATCCTCTCTGAGAAGCTTGTTTTGGAGGCTTGCAGTGGACTCTCCAGCATGTAGAGGTAGGTAACTACCCAAAGAGGTTTAAAATGTAAGCAGAAAAGGGTGCCTGGAAGGTTCACTTGGTGGTGCATGTAGCTCTTAATCTCAGGGTTGTGAGTTCAAGCCCTGTGTGTGTGTGTGTGTGTGTGTGTGTGTGTGTACAGATTAGTTAAAATAAAATCTTTAGCTGAGCCTGGATGGCTCAGTCGGTTAAGCATATGACTTTGCTCAGGTCATGATCTCACAGTTTGTGAGTTCAAGCCCCACATCAGGCTCTGTGCTGACAGCTCACAGCCTGAAACCTGCTTTGGATTCTGTGTATCTGTCTCTCTCTGCCTCTCCCCTGCTTGTGCCGTCTTTCTCTGTCTCTCAAAAATAATAAATGTTAAAAGAAATTTTTTTAAATAAAATAGAATCTTTAGAAAAGGTAAAATAAAAATAAATAAGCCAGAAAATCACATTAATCAAAAAGAAGGACAAGAACAGTAGCAATATTACATAAAATCAGTAATCCTGGTGTGATCAAAGGCATTTTCTCTACCAGAATATGTTGTAGGTAAATAATAGTCCCAGTAATAGAATAATCAATATTTATGTGATTTTATATAAGATCTAACAGAAAATATATCTAAATGTTTTTATATGTTTCTTGTACTTAGTTTTCTGAAGATAGTAACCAGAAGACTATGAGAATTCTAAGCCTCGAATTAATGAAACTTAGAAACAAGAGAGAAACAAAGATAAGGGTGAGTGATACTTTTGGTGAGTTTTGCTGTGTCTGGATCTGGGGACCTGAACAACTTCCACTTCGTAACACCTATTTTTGTTGTGTAGAGTATGATGGCTAAACAGGAAGGCATGGAGGTGAAGCTACAGGTCACTCAGAAGAATCTTGAGGAGTCTCAGGGGAAAATAGCACAACTGGAGGGGAAACTGTGAGTGCCTAAAAAGAAAGAGAAATTGTTAAGTGTAACTGTTGATTTCCCTCTCTCACCTCTCTCTTGTTTACTGAGACTTAACCTTCCTCCATACTTCTCTCATTGCCTCCCTGCTTGCCTTGTTTCTCTTCTTTAGCTGAGCCCTGATCACTCCCATTTAATGCTGAAAAGATGTATAAATGTATTACTTTTGTCCATCTTTTGTACAAATTATGAGGAAAGGCCTCCTCATCTTTTTAGTAGCATCATCTTATGGAGATGGTAGACCAAAACTGAGGAATATTGGTATAAGAAGCTGTGATTAATGTATAATCCTAGCCTTCCTTTTTATGATTGAGCTGTAACTTACCTACAAAAAATATATAGATCATAAGTATTCAGTTTGATGACTTTTGACAATTGTATACACCTCTGTCATCACCCTACAAACAAGACAGAGAACATTACCATCCTCTCAGAAAATTCCTTCCTGCCTCTTCCTGCTCCCCTGCTCTTCCCCATTATGAGGCCCCCAACACGTGAAGCCACTTTCTGACTTCCATCATATAAATTAGTTTGGTCTTTGGAGGGTGGGGATGGGAGGTGTTTATCACTGTGTGTGTGTGTGTGTGTGTGTGTGTGTGTGTGTGTGTGTGTGTCTTCTTTTGTTTAACATAGTATTTTAAGATTCATCTATACTGTTGTATTATAATTTGTTCTCTATTTCTGAGTAGTATTCCACTATCTGAATATACCTCCATTTGTTTACTATTCCTCTGTTGATCATTATTTGTGTTTCCAGTTTTCTGATAGTGTGAATAAGTCCGCTATGTATATCTTTTTGTGGACATAAGTTTTTATTTCTCCTGAATGAACATCTAGGATTGGAATACATGGGTCATAGGGTAGTGTAGTATATGTGTAAATTATTAAAACAAACAAACCAACCAACCCAGAGTGGTTGTATGAGCCATTTTACAGTCCCACTTAGCAATGCGTGATAGGTGCAACTGTTCCACGTCTCCAAGGTTTGATATTGTCAGTCTGTTTGATTTCCACCTTTTAGTAGGTAGGAAATAGTATCTCATTTGTAATTTTGTTAGTCTAAGGCCGAGCTTCACTGTATGTGCTCACTGACCATTCATGTATATAATATATCCTTTTGTAAGGTGTCTATTTAACTTTCTTGCTCATTTTTTAAATTGAGTTGTTTGGAGGAGGTAAACACCAAAGTAATTGCATAAAAATCAACCTAGAACAAAGGCTGTTTTGTATGTGTGATGGTGGGGTGGGGACTGGGAAGGCTACAAGAAAGATCATTTCTAACACTTGGAGTGTTATAGGTGCAATTTTCATCATCATGAAATTTATCAGAATTTATTTGGAAAGCTTTCTCACTTTAAAAAAAAAACTTCAGGGGGCGCCTGGGTGGCGCAGTCGGTTAAGCGTCCGACTTCAGCCAGGTCACGATCTCGCGGTCCGTGAGTTCGAGCCCCGCGTCAGGCTCTGGGCTGATGGCTCGGAGCCTGGAGCCTGTTTCCGATTCTGTGTCTCCCTCTCTCTCTGCCCCTCCCCCGTTCATGCTCTGTCTCTCTCTGTCCCAAAAATAAAAAAAATTAAAAACGTTGAAAAAAAAAATTAAAAAAAACTTCAGTTTCCTATTTGCATATACTAAATTGTCAATTTAAGAGGTCACAGAAAATAAGAATTAAGGATTTGGAGTCTAGAGATAGCCTATCTGATACAGCAGTATCTGGTACAGATTAAACATTATGTGTGACTACTGTGAGTATTCATATATGTAATTTTTTTCAGTGTTTCAATAGAGAAGGACAAGATTGATGAAAAATCCGAAACAGAAAAACTCTTAGAATACATCGAAGAAATTAGGTAATATTAATAGTAGTTTTAAATTGGACCTTATTTTGTTGAATAGTGATGAATACATCATTTTCATCCTTTTTAGTTTAATTTTCCCTGTGCCTAAATTATGTGCTCTTCAAAATAATTTGTTTTACTGTAGTTGTGCATCAGATCAAGTGGAAAAATACAAGCTAGATATTGCCCAGTTAGAAGAAAATTTGAAAGAGAAGAATTATGAAGTTTTAAGCCTTAAGCAATCTCTTGAGGAAAATGTTGCTATGCTTTCTAAACAAGTCGAAAACCTAAATGCTAAGTGTCAGCTGCTTGAAAAAGAAAAAGGTATGTAACATAAGTAACATGTACAGTATGTAAAGACTGTACTGCTGTATTAAAACAAACTTTTTTTTTTTATTGTCAAGTTAGCTAACATACAGTGTAGTCTTGGCTTCAGGGGTAGATTCCCATGATTTATCACTTACATACAACACCCAGTGCTTGTCCCCACAAGTGCCCTCCTTAATGCCCATCACCCGTCTCCCCCACCCCTCCTTCAACCCCCGACTCCATCAACCCTCAGTTTGTTCTCTGTATTTAAGAGTTTTTTAAAAAATTGTGGAAATAACATTAAAATCCTATTCCCATATGAGAATGTTTGTCTTTTACAATGTTTGTTTTCTGTTTATTTCAATATATTGCTTGTCTTGATTGAAATATATACAGTGGTACATTTCTTGACTTCCTCATTGGGTAGCCATTTAAATTGAGAAGACATACCATAGGATATGCACTACATTTTGTGTAGTAAATGATACAAACTTCAGAATTATGTTTTGGCTTTATTTCTTTGGAAATACTTGATCTGTATAACATGCTAACAGCAAAAAATGGGTATATGGAAATCCAGTTTCTCTAAGTGCAATACATTCTCTAAATACATGTATCTAAATACAGCATTTTCATTTGTATAGAAGACCTCATCAACAGGGATAGGGAACAGGATGAAGCTCTGAATTCTGAAATGCAAAACTTAAAGGAGAAACTTATTCTTGAAAAGGAAGAACATGAAAAGTTACGACAAAAAGAACTGCAAAGTGATTCACTTCTGCAACAAGAGAAGGTAGTACACTACAATAAAAAAAAGCAAAAACTTTTGCTTGTTATATGTCATACATTTCCCTGTGTATCTGAAAACCTTTAAATTATATATGTCTTTTGATCCAACAATTCTATTTTTAAAGTCTTATCTTGAGGAAATAGTCGTGTATATGCTGTTAAGCCACACAAATATTCACCACATTATTGATGATGTGAAAAAATTATAAGCAACTAATAAACCAAAATAAGAAAATAGTTTAAAAATATTTTCTGGGCATAGGGGCACCTGGGTGGCTCAGTCGGTTGAGTGTCCAACTTCGGCTCAGGTTATGATCTCACAGTTTGTGGGTTCAAGCCCTGCATTGGGGCTCTGGGCTGACAGCTCAGAGCCTGGAGCCTGCTTCAGATTCTATGTCTCTCTTTCTCTGTGCCCCTCCACACTCATGCTCTCTCTGCATCTCAAAAATAAAGAAACATAATAAAAAAAAATTTTTTTTTAATATTTTCTGGCACATTCTTGTGTTAGATTACTACTTAGGCATTTACAGTTATGTTGTAAAATAGTGTCTAAATGCATGTGAAACAAAACTGAAAAATTTTTAAAACCCAGATTACATAAAAAATATTTTATGTGAGAAGAAAGTTTATTAAAAAAATGAGCATAGCATGTAAATTTATCATTCTCAGTAGAAATTCAGATAATCTGTAAACACGAATACTCTACCTTAGTAATAAAGAAATGGAAATAATTTTTTCCCCTTACAAGATTGGCACACATTAAAGCATTTGATAATAGGGGCACCTAGGTGGCTTAGTCATTTAAGTGTCTGATTTCACAGGTGGTGAGATTGAGCCCTTCATCAGGCTCTGTGCCAACAGTGTGGAGCCTGCTAGGGATTCTCTCTCTCTCTCTCTCTCTCTCTCTCTCTCTCTCTCTCTCCCTCCCTCCCCCCCCCCCCCCCCCCCCCACTCATGCACACTTGTGTGCACAGGCACACAGCTGTGCTTTCTATCTCAAAATAAATAAACATTTAAAATATTTGATAATACAGAACACATTAGTAAGAGTGGAGCAAACAGGTAAATGCACTGATGCGAAATATTATATTTTGGGCAACTTGCAACAACTGAAGGAATTAAATAGATCTATATATACTGACTTGAAGATCTCAACTATTTTTAGGATTTTTTTAAATGTTCGTTACATACGTAGTATATATCATTTATATGTATGTATTTTTTAAGTGTATAAATGTGTAAAAAAGACTAGAAGGCATATATACCAAAACTAGTGGTTATCTCTACAATGAGGAAACTAGGATTGGGGTGTGGTATAGTCAGAAGCATTTTTCCACTTCATTTGTTTTTTGTTTTTTGTTATTTTTTGTCCCATCCAGTCCCACAACTGCAGTTACTGTTGGCAGACCTTTCAAATGTTTTCTTGTATCTTAGTATTTAAGAGATGTGTCTCCTAAATGCATTGTTAGGAGTGTACAGGATGGAGAGGATGCTTATTTACATTGACCATTCTTTTTAAATTTTTTTTTAATGTTTATTTTTGAGAGAGAGAGAGAGAGGGAGACACAGTCTGAAGCAGGCTCCTGGCTCTGAGCTGTCAAGACAGAGCCCAATGCAGGGCTTGAACTCACAAATCTGGAGATCATGACCTGAGCCAAAGCCAGACACTTAATAGACTGAGCCATCCAGGCGCCCCATATGTTGACCGTTCTTTTTAAGGGCAAAGGGCCTGTTTTCTTTCATAGAGTGTTCCTGGGCACATCTATACTGGGTTTTGCTTTTGCTTTTTTATTGAGGTATAACTGACTTACAACATTATGTAAGTTTCAGGTATATGACATAACAATTTAATATTTGTATATGTTGCAAACTTACTACCACAATAAGTCTAGTTAGCATCTATCACTATATAGAACTATAAATTTTTTTTCTTCTGAGGAGTGTTTAAGACTCTCTCAATAACTTCCAAAGTGCAATACAGTACTGTTAACTATAGTCACCATGCTATAACACTCTATGACTGAAGTATTTTTTAACTGGAAGTTTGTACCTTTTGATTCTTTCACCCATTTTACCCACCCCGACTTCTGGCAACCATCGGTCTGTTCTCTATGGCTGGGTTTTTGTTTATTTCCAGATTCCACATATAAATAAGATCATATAATATTGTTCTTTCTTTGTCTGATTTATTCCACTTAATATAATACCCTCAGAGTCCATCCATAGCATCACAAATAACAAGATTTTCTTTTTTATAGCTGAATAATAATCAATTTGTGTGTATATATACCACATTTTCTTTATTCATCCATCCATCAGTAGACATTTAAGTTTTTTCCATATCTTGACTATGGTAAATAATGCTGATATGAACATTGGGTGCATAATCTTTTCAAGTGTGTATTTTCATTTTCTTCAAATAAATACTTAGAACTGGAATTACTAGATTGCATGGCAATTCTGTATTTAATTTTTTGAGGACCATTCATGCTCTTTTCCATAGTGACTGCACCAATTGACATTCCCAGCAACAGTGCACAAGCGTTCCCTTTTCTCCACATCCTTGCCAACACTTACTGTCTATTGTCTTTTTTTTTTTTTTCAAGTAATCTCTGTGCCCAACATGGGGCTCGAACTCAGACCCCAAGATCAAGAGTTACATGCTCCACTGACTGAGCCAGCCAGGCACCCATATTTCTTGTCTTATTGATAATAGCCATTCTGGTATGAAGTGAATCTCATTATGGTTTTGATTTACATTTCCCTGTTGATTAGTGATGTTGAGCATCTTTTCACGTACCTGTTGGCCATCTGGATGTTTGGAGAAATGCCTCTTTAGATCTGCTACCCAGTTTTTAATTAGAGTTGGGTTTTTTGCTTTTGAATTGTAAGAGTTCTTTATATATTTTGGTTATAACCCATCTGCCCTATCTAATATATGATTTGCAAATATTTTCTCCCATGTAAGTAAGTTACATTTTCATTTTCTTGATGGTTTCTTTTCCTGTGCAGAAGCTTTTTTTTTTTTTTTACATTTATTTATTTTTGGGAGAGACAGAGTGAACTGGGGAGAGGCAGAAACAGGAGAGGGAGACACAGAATCCGAAGCAGGCTCTAGGCTCTGAGTTATCAGCACAGAGCCCAACATGGGGCTCGAACTCACGAGCCGTGAGATCATGACCTGAGCAGAAGTCGGATGCTTTAACTGACTCAGCCACCCAGGCGCCCCCAGAAACTTTTTGGTTTGATGTAGTCCCACTTGTTTATTTTTGCTTTTGTTTCCTTTGCTTTGGTGTTCTATCCAAAAGATCATCACCAAGAACAATGTCAATAACCTTACTGCCTATGTTTTCTTTTAGGAGTTTTATGGTTTCAGGTCTTACATTTAATACATTTTTATTTAATTTTTGTGAATGGTATTAAGGTAGTAGTGCACTTTTATTCTTTTGTTTGTGGTTTTCCAGTTTTACCAGTACCATTTATTGAAGAAACTGTTCTTTCCCCTTTGTATATTTTTGACTCCTTTATCATAAATTAATATGTGTGGGCTTGTTTCTATGCTCTATTCTGTTCTAGTGATCAATGTGTCTGTTAGTATGCCATCACCATACTATTTTGAGTAACATAGTTTGAAATCAGGGAGTATGATACCTCCAACTTTGTTCTTCTTTCTCAAGAGCACTTTGGCTATTCAGGGTATTTTGTGCTTCCATATGAATTTTATCTTATTCCATTGTTCTATATCTGTGAAAATTCCCATTTTGATAGGGATTGCACTCAATCTATAGATCGCTGTGGTTGCATGGATATTTTAGCAATATTAATTTTTTCAATTCATGAGCACAGAATCTCTCCATTTATTTGTGTCTTCACTTTATTTTAATGTTAGAACTTTTTCCCAGTATTGATATATTTGTGCATTGTATAACTTTATTTTTTAAATGTTTATTTTGAGACAGAGGGCGGAGGAGAGAGAGAATCCCAAACAGGCTCTGTGCTGTCAGCACAGAGCCCATTGTGGGGCTTGGACTCACAAACTATGAGGTCGTGACCTGAGCTGAACATTTAACAGACTGAACCGCCCAGGTGCCCTTGTATGTTATATAACTTTAAAATATATTTACGTACTGTCAAAATCATAGTACACTTTTTCTGTGGTATCCTCTGAGGAAAATATGCTAAAAGTCAGTTGTAGAATATAATTTTAGTTTTATAAGAAGTGTGTGAGTGTGTGTTGCATAGAAAAACTGAAAAAACATTTACCACATTGTTAACAAGGTGCAGAATATAATCGATGACAAGATGCAGGTGATATCCGTATTTTTCAAAGGTTTTTGTTTTTTTGAGGCTCTTGAATTTAGTATTCATACTTTACTTTCTGTACTTCTTTTTTTTGTCATTAGTAAAAATCTCTTGATGCCATTTCATATTATTTTGGTGGTTTCTATTTGGATGTAGGAGTTGTCCTCCAGTCTTCAACAGAAGCTAGGTTCTTTTCAAGAGGAAATGATGAGAGAGAGAGATCTCTTTGAGGAAGAATTAAAGCAAACACTGGAAGAACTAGATAAATTACAGCAAAAGGAGGAACAAGCTGAAAGGCTGATTACACAATTGGAAGAGGAAACAAAATCTAGAGCTGAGGAACTGAAACTCCTAGAAGAAAAGCTGAAAGGGTTGGTATCAATAAGATCTCATGTCTCATATGACTTCAGATGTAAAAATATGCTTTCCAGTACATTCTCTTAGCAATCTCACTTCAGTCATGCAAGTAAGTAAGGTTGGAATTCTTTTACAAGTAAGGAGTAGACACAGAGAGGTAAAGTATACCTATAGAGGGGCACCTGGGTGACTCAGTTGGTTAAGCATCTGACTCTTGATTCCAGCTCACGTCGCAATCTCATGGTTTGTGAGATTGAGCCTGGCATCGAACTCTGCACTGACATCACAGAGTTTCCTTGGGATTCTCTCTGCCCCTCCCCCCACCTCTCTAAATATAAATAAATAAAACTCAAAAAAAGTATACCCATAGAATATGCATACAAACAAGTATGACAGCCAAAATCAGAAGCTGTGCCCTTTCTTTTTTTTTTTTTTTTTAAATGTTCACTTACTTTTGAGAGAGAAAAACAGCATGAGTTGGGGAGAGGCAAAGAGAGAGGGAAACACAGAACCCGAAGCAGGCTCAGGCCCTGAGCTGTTAGCATGGAGCCCGACGGGGTTCGAACACACAAACCGTGAGATCGTGACCTGAGCTGAAGTCAGATGCTTAACCAACTGAGCCACCCAGCCGCCCCTGCCCTTTCTTTTTTTTTTTTTTAGGCAAGAGGTTTAATTTAAAAGGCTGTTAATAAACAAACTCAAAATTTGGGGTTTCTTTACTGCTGTTACGTTGTCTAAAATTGTTGGACATCAGCATTATAGCAATAACAGATTTAGAAAAAAGGCTAAGAATCTCACCCTTTAATAAGAAACATTTCCATTTTTTCCCCGTGTGTACATCAGTTTACATAGCATAAGCATAAGTTATACCTTTAATTACCTTTTCTAAGGGAGCACAAATACTCAGAAGTAGCAATGAAAACAAAATGAGAAAAAAAAACAACCGAACCTGGGCAACATTCAAAAATAAGAAATTTAAGAGATCTTGGGCTTTTATTTCTTTCTTTCTTTCTCTCTTTCTCTTTCTTTCTTTCTTTCTTTCTTTTTAAAGTAAGCTCTATGCCCAACATGGGGCTTGAACTCACCACCCCAACATCAAGAGTTGCATGCTGTACCAAGTAAGCCAGCCAGGTGCCCCTCAGGCTTTTCTTTTATTGCTATTTCCATATTACTTTCATCACATTATGCATCCTTCTCTACTACATTTATTTAGGTTAAAATACCAAGTGGATTCTTGAGTTCAAACTGTATCTACAATAATTAACATTATTTGACTGCTTAAGATTTCATTACTAAAAATATTTCTAGCAACCAAGAACTGTACATGAGTCTACAGGACTGTAGTATATCTCACAACTGTGTATCTGTCTCCTGTTGGATACTTTTGTTAAAATCCTTTTTTTTTTTTTTGTTTTCTTGTGGTGGTGATAAAAAGGACACAAAGGTTTTTTATATGCCTGCTTTTGCGGGGAGAAGTACCAGAGTATTCTTAGGGAATTGTTCTATACTGGAACCATTCTCAGGAAGCAGGCACTTTAAGAAACTGAGTAGATGACATCAGTTTCAGGGAGGAAAGAAAGTTGAGACAATCATTTTTTCAACTCAAGGAATTCAGTGCAAAGGTCAGGAGATAAGGATTTTATTGCTGGATCTGTTAACCAGCTGTGTGATTCTAAGCAAGACAATTTACTTTAATTTACTATTTCATCAGATATAAAATAAAGGGATTTTAATAACGTGATCTCTAAGGTCCGTTCCAACCTGAAATCTTAGGCATAAGAGAAAAAATAAGAAAATTGGAAATGATTTCTCTGTGGGGCAGGGAAGAGAATATTTTTATTATAAAGCCTTTAGTACTATGTGATTGCTTTTAGCTGTTGGTGTGTGTATTTTTTAATCCCATGCTCATTACAGAAGGAATTTGATTAGTTCCATTTATTTTATCTGTGTCCAACTTAGCCTATAAGCAAATAAAGCTTCTTATTTATAGTTCTTAGTTCTATATGTTCTTTAAAAGGTCTCTTACAAGCTCATGTGTATATCTCAAAATTTTTCTCACTATTTTGGTAATATGTAATGTTAATATTTCAAAAACTTTCTGAGGTTTGTAATATATATGAATAAAGATGACTTAAAGCTATTTTGTCTATGTAAGTAATCCACCAAATAAGTTATTGAATATTTTTTTAATAACAATTTCATATATGGATTACTGAAATAATCAAAATAAATCTACATAGTCCTAAGGGCACTTGCGTGGCTCAGTCAGTTAAGAGTCCAACTTCGGCTCAGGTCATGATCTCACGGTTCATGGGTTTGAGTCCCACATCAGGCTCTGTGTTGATGGTTCAGAGCCTTGAGCCTGCTTCAAATTCTGTGTCTCCTTGGGGCGCCTGGGTGGCGCAGTCGGTTGAGCGTCTGACTTCAGCCAGGTCACGATCTCTTGGTCCGTGAGTTCGAGCCCCGTGTCGGGCTCTGGGCTGATGGCTCAGAGCCTGGAGCCTGTTTCCAATTCTGTGTCTCCCTCTCTCTCTGCCCCTCCCCCGTTCATGCTCTGTCTCTCTCTGTCCCAAAAATAAATAAACGTTGAAAAAAAAAATAAAAAAATAAAAAAATAAATTCTGTGTCTACCTCTCTCTCTGACCCTCCCCTGCTCGCACTCTATCTCTCTTGCTCAAAAATAAATAAACATTAAAAGAAATTTTTTTTAATTTAAATCTACATAGTGCTATCAACTCTTTTTTCAAAGAAATACCAAGTGTAGTTAAAGAGTGTTTCTTAAATGCAGAGACACTTTATTCAGTCAGCCAGCTTTTTAGCTGGTAATTTGGCTGCTGCCATTAAGATTGTGTTTTAGAGTCTTTTTACCCTACCTTCTTCTAAAAAAAAAAATGTTTAAACTACCTACATACGTGCATATAGTGTCAAAAGATAAATTTAGAAATGAGTAAATTAGGATGCAAATGAAAGTAAAATAAGGACAGGAAGGATAAGATGAAGCCAGAAGAGAAGTTAGTACATAAATAAACATGCTATTAGAAGCAGGTCATAAAATTAGATCTGAACGGTCCAGTAGTTTATGCAGATACAGACATTGGACATATGATTCACAGTGCCAAAGGTAAATACTATCCGCTTTCATAGAATATGATTTGTAATTAGCCTTTTATCTTTTAATTGTTCCTTAGGAAAGAAGCTGAACTAGAGAAAAGTAACGCTGCTCACGCTCAAGCCACCCTGCTTTTACAGGAAAGGTATCAGAGTACAGTGCAAAACCTCGGAGATGTTACTGCTCAATTTGAAAGGTATTTTTATTCGGAGCCTACACTCTCAAATATGATATGAGTAGGGAGGGGTGCTTATCTAGAAAAATCTGAAAAAACAATCACACAGATAGTTGGTATTACTGTAGATTCCATAATGACCAACCATAAATGGGCATTCAGGGTTACCTGGTAATCTTATGTATAGGAATTTCCTTTCCTGCCATCCACTTCAAATTTCATGAACTCTCAATCCTTTGGCCCTTCTGTCTTACTCTTCTGACACCATTATTTTCCTCATGAAGAATTCTAAAGCTTTTATCTCATTACCCTGCCTGTAAACACACCTGCCTTTATGCTCATCCTATCTTCCCACCTGTTACAGGAGAAGTGACTTTATGTTTCACTTATCCTTTACAGCCTTTCTACTGGATTTTTTCCAATCTGTATTAAAACATGTTAATGTTCATTTATCTTTGAAATACATAAATTCAGAGTGCCTGGGTGGCCCAGTCACTTAAGCATCCGACTCAATTTTGGCTTAGGTCATGACCCCATGGTCTTGAGATTAAGCCCTGTATGGGGCTCCATGCTTAGTGTGGAGCATGGAGCCTGCTTGGAATTGTCTCTCCCTCCCTCTCCCTCTGCCCCTCCCTCACTTGCATACACATGCACGCTCTCTCTTTATCTCTCTCTCTCAAAATATAAAAATAAATTTAGAAAAAAAACTTCAAAAAAATAATAAAGTAAAATATATAAATTTTATTAACTCCTTTGACAGCTCCCCCCAACTTCCTCCTGCAGCTATCCAGCACCTCTCACTCCCAACACCCTTTTTTAATCCAAAATTCCACTCATCTTTATAGCTCATCTAAATAGAAGATTCTCAGGGCGCTGGGTGGCTCAGTTGGTTAAGTGGCCAACTTCGGCTCAGGTCATAATCTCACAGTCCGTGAGTTCGAGCCCCGCGTCGGGCTCTGTGCTGACAGCTCAAAGCCTGTAGCCTGCTTCAGATTCTGTGTCTCCCTCTCTCCCTGACCCTCCCTCGTTCATGCTCTCTCTCTGTGTCAAAAATAAACATTAAAAAATAATAATAATTTAAAAAAAAAATAAATAGAAGATTCTCTATACCTACTGTATCCACTTCCTCACTTCCTATATCATCTACTTATTATTTTCCCTTTAAAAAAAAGTTTATTTGTGGGGGAACTATACATTGCAGAGGATAGTTTAAGAAATGTATATGCATCTCACACCAAGAGAGTATTAATATGAACATTTTTGTTATATTACTTTAGACCATTTCAGAAGGTCTCTTTTTCTTGTGTCTATCTTAATATATTTAAGAAATACAAAATATAAACAACAGTTACATAATTTATAAAGCATAAAGATAAAATGAACATGTATGAGCCCATAAAAGACAACCAAACCAGTAAGCCAAAAGATTCAACAACTTGGTATCTATGTAGGAGTTCCTCCACCATCTGCATGCTTTCCACCAACGGAAACACCATCTCAGAGCCTCCATTTATAATTGCCTCACTTTTTTCCTATATATAATTTTATTACATGTATATCCACACAAATAATATTTTATGTAATACTACTTTTGTGCTGAACTTGAACTTGGCCAAAAAATGACGTCATGGTGTATGTCATTTCCTGGGACTTGTCTTTTTTATTCTGCAATATGTAGGTTTCTAGAATTGAATCACATTGTTGACTGAGGTTATAGTTTGTTCATAGTGGCTGCTGTAACGTGTTCGATTTTATTAGTATATCACAATTTACCCGTTCTCACTTTGGACTTTCGAGTTGTTTTCCTTTTTTTGTTGCTTCTTTCATCATAAGTGTACTCTATAATCCCCATCCCCTATTTTCCCCATACCCTCCCACCAACTTACCCTCTAGTAACTCATCAGTTTGTTCTCTATAGTTAAGAATCTGTTTCTTGCTTTGTCTTGTTTATTTATTCATTTATTTACTTTTGCTTGTTTGTTTCTTAAATTGCACGTGTGAGATCGTATAATATTCGTGTTTTTTGACTTACTACACTTAGCGTTACACACTCTAGTTCTATCCATGTTGCTGCAAATAGCAAGATATCATTCTTTTTTCTGGCTGAATAATATTCCTGTGTGTGTGTGTTTGTGTGTGTGTGTGTGTGTGTGTGTGTGTGTGTGTGTGTGTGTAGATATATACACACCACATCTTCTGTATGCATTCATCTGTGGACAGTTAGCCCGCTTCCATAATTTGGCTGTTGTAAATAAAGCTACAATAAACATAGGGGTGCTTGTATCCCTTTGAATGAGTATTTTTGTATATTGGGGGTAAATTCCCAGTAATGTGATTACTGGGTCATGGGGTAGTTCTATTTATAATTTTTTGAGGAACCCCCATACTTTTTTCCACAGTGGCTACACCAGTTTACAAACTCCACCAACAGTGCAAAAGGATTCCTTTTTCTCACATCCTCACAATACTTGTTGTTTCTTGTGTTATTTTTATATTAGCCATTCTGACAAGTGTGAGGTGATATCTCACTGTAGTTTTGACTTGTGTTTCTCTGATAATGAGTGATGTTGAGCATGTATCTGTTGGCCATCTGGATATCTTTGGGGAAATGTCTGTTCATGTCTTCTGCTCATTTTTTTAATTAGACTATTTGGTTTTTGGATATTGAGTTGTATCAGTCCTTTATATATTTTGGATACTAACCCTTCATCAGATACGTAATTTGCAAATAGCATCTACCATTCAGTAAGCTGCCTTTTAGTTTTGTTAACTGTTGCCTTCACTCGAAGTGCCAAAACTTTTCATTCTTACATAGTCCCAATCAATTGTTTTTGCTTTTATTTCCCTTGCCTCAGTAGACATACCTAGAAAAATGTTGCTATAATCAATGTCAGAGATTAATGCTGTGCTCTCTTCAAGGATTTTTATTGTTTCAGGTCTCACATTTAGGTCTTTAATCCATTTTGAATTTATTTTTGTGTATGGTGAAAGAAAGTGGCCCATTTTCATTCTTTTTCATATAGCTATCCAGTTTTCTCAACACCATTTGTTGAAGAGATTGTCTTTCTCCTATTGTGTATTCATTCTTCCCTTGTCAAAGGTTAATTGACCATATAATTGTGGGCTTATTTCTGGGTTTTCTATTCTGTTCCATTAATCTGTGTGTCTGTATTTTTATGCCAATACCATATACTGTTTTAATTACTGGCACTTTGTGATATAAGTTGAAATCTCGAATTGTGATACCTCAAGTGTTTTTTTTTTCTTTTTCAAGATTGCTTTGGCTATTCGAGGTCTTTTGTGGTTACATACAAATTTTAGGATTGTTTGCGCTAGTTCTGTGAAAAATGCTGTTGCTATTTTGATAGGGATTGCTTTAAATCTGTAGATTGCTTCAGGTAGTATAGACATTTTAACAATATTTGTTCTTCCAAACTATGAGCATGAAATGTCTTTCCATTTCTTCGCATTGTCTTGAATTTCTTTCATCAGTGTTTTATAGTTTTCAGAGTACAGGTCTTTCACCTCTTTGGTTAAGTTCCATTCCTAGATATTTTATTGTTTTTCTTGCAGTTGTAAATGGTAGTTTTCTTAATTTTTGTTGCTTCATTATTAGTATATAGGAATGCAACAGATTTCTATACGTTGACTTTGTATCCTGTAACTTTACTAAAAATTCATTTATTCATTTATCAATTCTACTAGTTTTGTTGGTGGCGTCTTTAGGGTTTTCTATATATGGTGTCGTGTCATCTGCAAATAGAGTTTTACTTCTCCCTTAGCAATTTGGATGCCTTTCACTTCTGTTTTGTTGTCCAATTGCTGTAGCTAGGACTCTTTCCAGTCCTGTGTTGAATGAAAATGGTGAGAGTGAATATCCTTGTCTTGTTCCTGACCTTAAGGGAAAAGCTCTCAGTTTTTCACTATTGAGTATGATGTGATGTTAGCTGTGGGTTTTTCGTAGATGGCCTTTATTATGTTGAGGTATGCTCCCTCTAGACATACTTTGCAGAGGGTTTTTATCATGAATGGATGTTGTACTTTGTCAGATATTTTTTCTGCATCTACTGAAATGATCATATGATTGTCATCCTTTTTCTTACTGATGTGATGTTCACGTTGATTGTTTTGTGACTATTGAACCACCCTTGCATCCTGAGAATAAATCTTATTTGATTGTAGTGTAAGACTTTTTTAATGTATTGTTGGATTCAGTTTGCTAATATTTTTGGAGGATTTTTGCATCCATATTTATAAGATACTGGCCTGTAGTTCCCTCCCTTCTTCTCTCTCCCTCTCCCTCTTTCTCTCTCTTTGTTTTTGTTTTTGTTTTGTTTGGGGGGTTTTTTTTGGTGTCTTTATCTGGTTTTGGTATCAGGGTGATACTGGCCTCACAGAATGAATTTGGAAGTTTTTCATCCTCTTATAAGAGTAGATATTAACTCTTCTTTAAATGTTTGGTAGATTCTTTTGTTACTATTAATAGTATTTTTACTAATATTCTTGTAGTCTCCTAGTATACTTGAATAAGAATTACTCTAAAACCATACATTTGTGACTGCTCAACTTTAAAATTTAATGCCAAATTGCTTTACAAAACAATTTGTACACTCTACACTCTCACTAGCATTGTACGAGTAACCATTGATCTACTTCCTCTCCACAGCTTGTGAGATTTCTTCAATTTTGCCAGTGTACTTAGTATAAAATGGCTTTTTTCCTGGAGATAATCCGCCTTCCCTTTTCTGTAAAAAAAGCTTATGTATAAAAAGTTATAAAAAAACTTTCTATCCCAAAAGGTATTAACTTATTTTTTTAAGTTTCATTTTTCCATCTAGAATGAATTTCTGTGTGTGCAGTAAAACTGGGATCAAATTTATTTTTGTTTTTCCATATGGAGAACATATTGCTTAATGCCCATTCATTGAATAGTACTTTCTTTCCCCAATGATCTTTTTTTTTTGAAACTAAATACATTTTAATAGAAAGCAAAATACAAAGTAACTCTTATCAGAAAACAGAAATTTTTAATCCTTTTTTGATGAATTCAAAGTTGCTTTATCTTCAAAGCACAGTTGTATATGCGTGCGTATGTACTTCATGATTTGTTCTCAAACTGTTCATTAAACTGCTATTGCAAGCAGGAGGTGGGAGCAAATGATCACAGGAGAAAAGGACACTGAGAAAGCCACCCATCTGAATAGATGGGCATTTGGAATTTAACATTTTCTCGGGCGCCTGGGTGGCTCAGTCGGTTAAGCGTCCGACTTCAGCTCAGGTCACGATCTCACGGTCCGTGAGTTCGAGCCCCACGTCGGGCTCTGGGCTGATGACTCAGAACCTGGAGCCTGCTTCCGATTCTGTGTCTCCTCTCTCTCTGCCCCTCCCCCGTTCATGCTCTGTCTCTCTCTGTCTCAAAAATAAATAAACATTAAAAAAAAAATTTTTTTTTTTTTTAAAAAAGGAAATTTAACATTTTCTAATTCTATCTTTGGACTTATTGCTTCAATTTATTTTCATTTCTTTACCACAGTCTGTCCTTTCAGGGGAGAAAACTATTCACAGAAGTGCAGCCGCAAGGAGACTCTTCCTCTCCCACCATCACTGCGAAAGCCCAGGACTTGTTCAAACAAATGCACACACTCACTTCTAGAAACATGTCAGCCAGAGTGACCAGTCCATCACCCAGAAATTTTCCCTTTCTCCCAAAACACTGTGCTACCAAATTCTCTGAATTCCCTGAACCTCAAGATTCCAAATATCACAGTCAGTGATATAATGTATTATGACATATATATCATATATTATGCTTTAGTGCTGTTTTCAACCTTCTGAAGGGATTTCCCTTCCTGCTACTTTGAGAAATAGTACCTTAGGAGGTTTCTAGCCACTCTGTGACTTCACTCACCATCAGTATGCCAATAGTATTAAAATTCATTTCTTCAAACCAGATCTTTCCTTTGAGCTTTATACTCGTATATCCAGCTGCCTACTTGACACCTCCAAGCAGATATCTCACTACCGTGTAATATTAACCTGTCTAAAACAACTTGTGATTTCTCTTCTATCTCTCTCTACCTCTCTCTCATTCTTTTTTATTTCAGTCAGTGACATCTTAATCTTCCCATCTTCTCTTTCTGTAAATCTTAGAGTCATCTTTAATCACTTTCTCTCCCTTTCTCCCAATATCCAACGTATTTAGTGAAATTCAGATTTTGCCTTCAAAAGAGATTTCACATCTTTCGACTGCCAAGTCCTTAGTCTAACCCTCTTTTTCACTCACCAGGGCTGATGTGCACCACGGTGATTACTGGCCCATGGCTTTAGCATCTGCGCCGGCCGCTCTTATTCGGTAGACTCCAATCTTGTGTCTTAATGCAGTGTTCTACCTGCTTCAGAACACATATGCATCTTTTCCTTCTGAAATACTTTTCCTTAAATCCTTAGATAACTTTTCTTTGTCCATCACATCAGTTTAACTATAAATTCCCTAGAAAGGCCTTTTCTGAATCACCAAAGAAAGTACGTTCCCCTGTTTTGCAGTTTAAGGTTTTCTAAAGTTTTCTTCATAACATATACCACAAATTTAATTATACATATTATTTCCCATTTTTTTGCCAAGGCCTGGAGAGGAATTTCCATATATTACCATAAGACCATAACTCTGTGACCATATTTGCAGGGATCATATATTTGTTCATTTTGGAGTAATTTTCATGTTAAGTATACTTCATATACATAGTAGGCACTTTTTTTTTTCTGAATGAACAGCCTATGCCATATAAGCTCCTTAGTACCTCAGAACACTGAATCTGTGTAACTGCAAAGTTTATATTGTATAATATATTGTTTTAATTTTCTTTTTACTTAGTTATAAAGCATTAACAGCTAATGAAATAGAAGATCTTAAGCTAAAGAATTCAGCACTTCAGGAAAAAGTGGCCAGTGCCGAGAAAAGTGCAGAGGACGTTCAACATCAGATATTGGCAACTGAGAGCGCAAATGAAGAATATGCAAGGTATGTGGGAAAAATAAAACCTGCCCATACTTGTAGCCTTAGAACTGTTAAGACAGTTTAATGTTGAAAGCCAGCTACGAAGTGATCCAGGGAATTATAGCTTTGGGTGATCTTCATTTGCAAAGTAAGAATTTGCACAGTTAAGAAGGTAAAATTCTTGAAGAGTTCCTTGAGTTGTGTTTTTCATTTGTTTTTCCAGTAAAAGAAAGGGGGGAAAGTTACTAAATGGCTATAAAATGTTTAGTGGACTCTCCTCTCTCAAACCCAAGGATGCTTCTAGATCTGCAGACCAAATCAGCACTTAAAGAAGCAGAAATTAAAGAAATCACAGTCTCTTCTCTTAAAACAATAACTGATTTGCAGAACCAACTCAAGCAACAAGGTGAAGAGTTTAGGAAACAACTGGAAGAGGAAGAAGCAAGGTAATCTAGGTTTAGAACTGGACTGCCACATAACCTCAGTTATTTCTTCTAGCACACTATGTTTTTTAATTTCATTTTTTTCCCTTACAGAAAAGCTGGAAAAGAAAACACAGTGGCAGAATTAACTGAGGAAATGAATAAGTGGCATCTCCTTTATAAAGAACTGTATAATAAAACAAAACCTTTCCAGGTTTGTCAGGACCACACTCACTTGTGTTTGGTTTAGGCACTTTGTTCCCTGTCACAGTCACAACAGTGACATGATTTTACTGAAAGATCGTTTTGCTGTGCATTTCCGGTGCCGATTTAACTCCCTATTAAAGGGGACTTTACATTTTTTTTAATTATTCTGCAGACATTTTTTATGCCGCTTTCTATAGGCTAAGAACTACCTTGTCATAAGAGACTTAAAGTTAATAGTTTAGAAGGCTCTCCTGATAGAAATTTTTGATAATGAATCTATGTAAATTTTTGATGCTTATTTTGTTACAATCTTGCTCAGTGTTTCTCAAATTAATAAACTGATCTTCAAAAAGGATAAAGGCTAATCTTGACCCTTAAAAAGAGTGGGAGGGCAGTATTGGTTATAACGTGATGATGCAGATGATATACAGAGTAGGCTGGCTCCTGGCCTTCTTTCCATGGGTTTCTCCCTACTTTAATGACCTTTGAAATGAAATACACAAAAGTTTTTGAAAGAGCCAGAATTTATGGAGAACCTGAGAATATGTCAGCATGATCTGTTTTTGTCCATTGTTTTTTATGTTCTTGTACTTGAATTTCCTTGTAGTTTCTTTTTTCTTTTTTCCTCTGTAGTTTCTATGAGACAAGTAAATTTAACATTTCTAATTATAAAAAACCTCTTTTTCAGCTACAACTGGATGCTTTTGAAGCAGAGAAACAGGCTTTGTTGAATGAACATGGAGCAGCTCAGGAACAGCTTAATAAACTAAGAGATTCTTATGCTAAATTACTGGGTCATCAAAATCTAAAGCAAAAAATCAAGCATGTTGTGAAACTGAAAGATGAAAATAGCCAACTCAAATCGGTTTGTAAAATAACACTTAGTCCTACTGAAGATATCAGGGTGGGGTATTTTTTATTCTAACTGTAACATTTAAGTTCAACAAAGAACTTTGATATCAGGAAAACTTAAGTTTATAGGGGAAAATCCATCTGAGAATTATGGATTTATTTTAGACCATTGACCAGATGGGTATTATGTTCTCAGGTTTCCAAATACTTCATTAGTATATTAGAAATCACTAGTGGGACACCTGGGTGGCTGATTCAGTTAAGCACCTAACTTCAGCTCAAGTCATGATTTCATAGTTCGTGGGTTCAAGCCCCACACTGGGGCCTCTGCTGTCATCACAGAGCCCCCTTCAGATCCTCTGTCTCTCTCTCTCTCTCTCTCCAGCCCTCCCCCACTCTCACACATTCTCACTCTTTCAAAAATAAACATTTTTTAAACATTTTTTAAAATCACTAGGGGCATCTGGGTGGCTCAGTTGGTTAAGCGTCTGACTTTGGCTCAGGTCATGATCTCACAGTTTGTGGGTTTGAGCCCCGCGTTGGGCCTGTGCTGACAGCTCAGAGCCTGGAGCCTGCTCTAGATTTGGGGTTTCCCTTTCTCCCGCCCCTTCCCCCCCCCTCTCTCCCCCCCCCCCCCCCCCACTTCACATTGTGTCTCTTAAAAAAATAAACTTTAAAATTTTTTTTCAAAAACTATCACCAGTGTAATTGGAAGAATTCACAGAGCTTTACACATCCATTTCTATTTGCAAAATAGCAAAATCCTTGGTATAAACAAATATAAAGATAAGCAGTATTCAAAAATAGTTAAGCATTTGGGATACCTGGCTGGCTTAGTGGGTAGAGCACATGACTCTTAATGTTGGGGTCATGAGATTACTTTAAAAAAGCAGTTAATCGTTTAAGTTGTTTTTAACAGCTTTATTAAGATACAATTCACATACCATACAATTCACCCATTTAAAGTTGAGTTTTATACAACTCAGTAGGTCTTAGTACATTCACAAATATGCAACCATCTGCACAATTTTAGGATATTTGCATCACCTTAGACTGAAACTCCTTACCCTTTAACTATCATCTCCTTATCTCCTCATTCACCCCTCCCACTACTAAACTACTTTTTGTCCATAAATTTCCCTATTCTGAATATTTCCTATTTGTGCGCTCAAATAATATGTGGTCTTTTGTGGCTTGCTTGTTTTAATTAGCAGTGTTTTCAAAGTTCATCCATGTAGTATAGCATGTGTCCGTACTTCATTCTTCTTTATGACCTAATAATATTTAATTGCTTACATATGTCACATTTTTATCCATTTGTCAGTTGATAGACATCTGACTTGTTTGCATCTTCAGAATGTTATGAATAATGCTACCATAAACATTCATGTACAAGTTTTTGTGTGGACATGTTTTGGTTTCTCTTGGGTTGTACTTAAAAGTGAAATTTCTAGGTAATTGGGTAACTTAATGTTTAATCTTTTGAGGAACTGTTTTCCACAGCAGTTGTATCTTTCTACATTCCACCTATAAAGTATGAGGGTTCCGGTTTTTCCATATCTTTACCAACATTTGTTATGTGACTTTTTCATTCTGACTATACTAGTGGATATGAAGAGATACCTAATTGTGGTTTTAATTTGCATTTCCCTGGTGACTGATGCTGACCATCTATTCATGTCCTTATTGGCCATTTGTATATCTTCCCTGGAAGAAATATCTGTGTATATCCTTTGCCTATTTTTATTTGGATTATTGTTTTTTTTTAACAAGTTATGAGAGTCCTTTATATATTATGTATATGTTCCTTATCACATGTAGTCTTTGAAAATATTTTCTCTCATTCTGTACATTCACTTTCTTGATGTTTGTTGAAGCACAAAATTTTGACAAAGTCTGATGTATCTATTTTTTCCTCTGTTTCTTGTTCTTTATTCTCTAACAATCTTTTGCCAAATCCCAGATCTTGAAGATTTATCCCTATGTTTTCTTCTAAGGGTTTTTACAGTTTTAACTTTTACATTGAGTTCATTGATACATTTGAGGATTTTGTATACAGTGAGAGGTAAGTGTCCAACTTTATACTTTAGCATGTGGATATCTAGTTGTTCTCATGCCATTTGTTGAAGAGACTATTCATTCCTCCAATGAATGATCTTCACACCCTTGTTGAAAATCGGCTGACCACATATTTATGGTTTATTTCTAGAGTCTCAAATGTTTTCCACTGATCTATATAGCTATCCTTGTGCTTCCACACTGTCTTAATTACAGTTGGATTGTAGTAAGTTTTAAAACCAGAAGGCATGCATAAATAAATAAATAAATAAATAAATAACCTTAAAAAAGGGTAGGGACACCTGGATTGCTCAGTCAAACATCCGACTCTTGATTTTGACTCAGGTTCTATGGATTCAAGTCCTGTGTCAGGCTCTGCACTGATGTCAGAGAGCCTACTTGGGATTCTATGAAGGAAGGACATGAGGGAGAGAGGGCAAAGGGGAAAGGAAAGGAATGCTTAAAACCAGGAGGCATGAATCCACCTACTTTTCTTCTTTTTCAAGATTGTTTTGGCTATTCTGGGTCCCTTGCAATTCCATATGAATTGCAGAATCAGCTATTCAATTTTTACAAAGAAGTCATCTGAGATTCACATGGGAATTGTGTTGAATCTGTAGATAGGTTTGGGTCAATTGCCATCTTAACTATGTTACATCTTCTGATCCATGAACATGGGATGTTTTTCCAATTATTTACATCTTTAATCTCTTTCAACAATGGTTTGGAGTTTTGAAATTATAAGTTTTACACTTTTGTTAAACTTGTTCCTAAGTATTTTATCCTTTTTGAGGTTATTGTAAATGAAGTTGTTTTCTTAATTTCATTTTCAGATGGTTCCTGGCAAGTGTGTAGAAATAAAATTGATTTTTGTATACTGAAATTGTATCTTTCAATCTTGCTGAACTCATTTATTTGTTGTAATAGATTTTTAGTGGTTTCCTTAGGATTTTCTGTATAGATGATCATTTGTAAATAGAGATAGTTTTACTTCTCTTTTAACCTGAATGCCTTTGATTACTTTTTCTTGCCTAATAAGTTCCCTGGCTGGAACCTCCAGACAAAGTTGAAGTGGTGTGAGTGGAGATCCTTGTTTTGGTCCTGATTTGGGTGGGGGAAAGCATTCACACTTTCTCTGTTAAGTATACTATTAGTTGCAGGCTTGTCACAGATACTCTTTATCAGGGTGAGAAAATTTCCTTCTATTCCTGGTTTTTTTAGTGTTTTTACCATGAAAGGGTATTAAATTTTGTCCAGCACCTTTTCTGTGTCTGTTGAGATGATCATGTGACTTTCATTCTGTTTATTTCTTAAATTAGTTGATTTTTGGATATTAAATTAACCTTGCATTCTGATCAGTTTTGCTTGGCCATGGTGCATAATTCCCTTTGTATTGCTGGATTCCTTTTGCTAATATATGCTGAGGTTTTTTTCGTCCATATTCCCGACAGATATTGGTCTACAGGTTTCATACAATATTTTTGGTATTATTTGGTTCTGGTATCAATGCTGACCTCATAAAATTAGTTGGGAAAGATTTTGTCTTTTCAATTTTTTGAAATAGTTTGTGAATTGGTATTAATTATTCATTGACTGTGCAATAGAATTCAGTAGTGAAGCCATCTGGATCTGAGCTTTTTGTGTGTGGGGGTAGTTTTTATTATCCAGTCTCCTCTTATGAGTCTATTCATACTGACTTTCTTTTTGAGAGAGTTTCAGTAGTTTGTGTCTTTCTATGAAGTTCTCTGTTTCATTTAAGTTATCTGACTTATGGATATACAACTCTTCATAGTATTTTTTTTGTAATCCTTTTTATTTTGGTAAGGTCAGTCACCATGTCCCTTCTTTCATTTCTGATTCTAGTAATTTGACTATTCACACTTTTTTTTTTTTTTTTTTAGTTCTCTTAGTTCTGTGAACATATTTATAATGGCTACTTTGAAACCTTTTTTGAATAAATCCAGTATCTGGTTACTCTCACAGGCAGTTTTTGTTCCCTGCTTTTTTCCAATGTATAGGTCATGCTTTCCTGCCTTTTTTGTTGGAAAGTGGATATTTTAGATTATATGTTGTAGCTCCTTTGATTACAGCCCTTTCCTTCAAGGTGTGTTGTTATTTTCTTGTTGATTTGTTTAGTAATTGGCTGGGTTGTGCTAGTGAAGTCTGTTCCTCCTCCCCCACCCCCCCCAGTAGTGTAGTGCCTCTGATACTGCTGCTCAGGGAGGTTCAGTCTGAAGTGTGCCCACGGTCACCCTGGGATGACACTGATTTTGGTAGAGCTGTCTCCTCTATTTCCCTCATCACACGTTAAACTGGATAACTAGTCACTTATTGCTCTTAACAGTGCCTGGAGTATAAATTGCTCTTCAAACTAATCCAGTTGAATTCTGGCTCCTTTGTTGGAATTATGTCTTAGGTCATTGATTGATTGTGTGCTGACCCCAGAAGGACTTCTCCCAGCTGTCTTATTCACCAGTTGTAAACCTACAGCTTTGCCTGTATTTTGAATCACCTCCCAGCTCCCTTGCGCCACCACCTTGACTGTTATTCACAGCACCCTCCAGCTTGAACTTCTCCAAATGCTGTTGCAAGTGAAGTCAGTTCCTTTGGGGAGAAATTAGGAACTGTGTGTTTTATAGTCTACTTCTCTACCCCTGCTCCCCCAGATAAAATCTCTGAGACAGGGTTCTGGAGCTGAAGTAGGAGAAAATGACAAGCTTTTTCTCTGAATGAGACATCTGGCCTGGGAACTGAGTGCTTGACAGACGTGGGGGAGAGGGGCAAGGAGAGCACTCTCAGGTTCTCTCAGCTTGCCTTTCCTGGCATGGAATCATCACCTTATGAGCCAAGGCAGCAAAGGTGATCAGCATTTTCTGCACACAGCATTTTCCCAGCATTTTCTGCACACAGCACCTAAGGTAGAGCCCTGTTGCACAGAAGAGAGGATCCTTCACCTCTCAACCACATTTGTTTGGGATGTGGCCTCAGCAACAGGAAAAGCCTCTGAGTGGGAGCTGGAGAAACAGAGGGCCCTGTTCTTGCCTGCAGCTGTCTATCCCACCTTGCTAAACTGGGAGTTGCGAGAGAGGGAGCAGACTTGGGTCAAATACCACAGACCCTTACCTTTTTTTTTTTTTTTTTACCATATTTTTGTAGATTTGGTTGAATAGATGTTTCTTCATTGCCTGTTTTGCCTTAGAACCATTTTTACAGACTTTAAATGGTTGCCTTTTTTTTTTTTTTTAAATAATTTTTAGTTTCATTAGGAAGCAGGTTACTGGAGCTTCTCTTGCTATCATGCCACAAGTTCATCTCAGCATTTAATTTGGAGATGAACTTTTATCGGAAACATAGCTTTGTATCTGTAGAGTGGCAAAAAGACTGAAATGTCTCATTATCCCCTTTGTCACACCTGTTCAGTGTCATTTTATAATTTGTAGTATTAAAGCCTGTATCTAGTAGTGATTTTTTGTCTTTTGGTTTGATACATGAGCACCTTGGGAAATTTGTCAGTAACACTGATAACACATTTCACCAACATGAGGTTTAGTAATTGTTTGTTGTCTATATTTCTCTTACATAGGAGGTGTCAAAACTCCGCTCTCAGCTTGCTAAGAAAAAACAAAGTGAAACAAAACTTCAGGAGGAATTGAATAAAGTTCTGGGTATCAAACACTTTGATCCTTCAAAGGCTTTTCTTCATGAAAGTAAAGAAAATTTTGCTCTCAAAACCCCATTGAAAGAAGGTAAGAAATGAATAAATGGATAAGTGTCATCTTCCTTTGAATTTGCTTTCACAGCATATCACAAATTGTCCATTTTTATGAACTGTGAAAATTTGTTGACAGTTTCTGATATAAAAAATTCATATTGGGGCATCTGGGTTAAGCGTTAAGACTTCAGCTCAGGTCATGATCTCACCATTCATGGGTTCGAGCCCTGCATTGGGCTCTGTGCTGACAGCTCAGAGGCTGGAACCTGCTTCAGATTCTGTGTCTCTCTGTCTCTCTGTCTCTCTCTCTCTCTCTCTCTCTCTCTCTCTGTCTCTGCCCCACCCTGCTTGTATTCTCTCTCTCTCTCTCTCTCAAAAATAAATAAATTTTTTTTTAATGGTGAATGAAAAAATATAATTATGGTACAAAATATTGCTTCACCTGCCTTACAGAAGGTGGAAATGCCTGTTTTTAGTTTATAATGGCTGATAGATTAGTTTTAATGTAGATTACTAATACCTCTTTTTAATAATTCTTCCAGGCAATACAAACTGCTGTTGAGCTCCTGTGGAGTTTCAAGAATGATGCAAGTAAACATCTGAAAGACCTGTTAAAGATTATTTCATTCTTACTGCTTTTATTATTGTTATTGCTATTGTTGCTGTTACTATTATGTTTGTAATGAGTATTCTTAATGTATTTAATATTAACTTCCTATCCTTACGTATGTAAATGGAAGTTCAACATTTTTACCAATATGACTTCCGACTTTTTTTTTCTATTGTCTGTACCTCCCCTTGATGCTTACCTTTATCACCTCATTCTAAATCTCACTGGCCTTCCATCTTTACAACTCATCCCAGCAAATCAACGTTCCTTTAAAAATCACTCAGATTATTATTCCCCTACTCTGAAACCTTATTTGGTTTCAAGATTCAAATCCATAGGTTTTTTGGTGTGATACTGGAGGCCTTTTCTAATCTGAGCCTCTTAAGCTAGGCTAAAACACGTTGGCCCGTTCCTGCCTCTCCGTTGATTGTCTAACAAGGTTCATTCTATCATACCCATCATCCATTTTTCCAGTTCAAATAAGAAATAAGTGTATGCCTAACTCCATAGTATTCTCTTTGTCTCCTACCAGGGTCACTAAGTTGGTCAACAATTTGTGGATTCCTAGACTCTATCTCAGTCCTACTAAATTAGAATCTGGTGTTCAGCTTGAAAATACGCATTTTTAACAAACTCTGCAGTCAATTCTTAGATTCAGTAACACTCTGAAAACCTATGCTCATAACCTCAACAGAATTTGTTATAGAGTGCTTGCCATCTGACTACTGGCTGCTTGGTTAATATTTTTGTAATATGAAATAAAATCACACATTAAGTCATTTACCCAATTATTCAACTTGTATTATATGAAGTTACATTAATGCTTTTATTTAAGGTATATTTATTATCTCTGCTCTCCCCTCTCTATCTTGTCCCCAGAATCATACTTGGTAGTATATTATGTAGAAATGGTGAATCTTCATCTAAAATAACTGATGTACAAAGTTGGTATGATATTATAAGCCACAGTTCTGAAGAAATATAGAAATTATAAAAAAAAATGCACTTCAAATATAAAGACAAAAATAAGTGAAAATTAAAGCAATGTTAAAACATACCATACTGAGACATGACATTAGCAAGATGGCAGAATAGAACCCTTGGACCTGCCTTCTCCCCACAGACATACTGATTCAGCAATAATACATAGACAAATTCCCCTTGTGAGAAATCCAGAAACTAGTTGAGAGTGCCAAGAATATAAGTAGAGAAAGGATAATATCTTCAACAAATATATCTAAGTGCAAAAGAACGAACCATATATAAAAATCATCTCAAAAACCTTAAAGTATAAAACAGCTAGAAGAAATGTAATAGGAAATCTTCATGACATTGGTCTTAGTGCTGATTTCTCATACCAAAAGTCACAGGCAACAAAAGCAAAGCGGATAAGTGGGACTACATCCAACTAAATTTTCTGCATGACAAATGAAACAACAAAGTGAAAAGAACCTATAGAATTCAAGAAAATATTTGCAAACTGTACATCAAAGGGGTTACTTTTCAAGATGTGTAAGAAATTACAACGCGAGGGGCGCCTGGGTGGCGCAGTCGGTTGAGTGTCCGACTTCAGCCAGGTCACGATCTCGTGGTCCGTGAGTTCGAGCCCCGCGTCGGGCTCTAGGCTGATGGCTCGGAGCCTGGAGCCTGTTTCCGATTCTGTGTCTCCCTCTCTCTCTGCCCCTCCCCCGTTCATGCTCTGTCTCTCTCTGTCCCAAAAATAAATAAACGTTGAAAAAAAATTAAAAAAAAAAGAAATTACAACACGATATAATAATATACGCAATAATAAACGCAAAATAATAATATAATATAAAAATTGCTAAAGAATTTGAATAGTTATTTCTCCAAAGAAGACATACAAGTGTTCAACAGCCATAGGAAGAGATGCTCAGAATCACTAGTCATCACAAAGAGACAATATTTCATACCTGTTAGGATGGTTATTATCAAAAAAAAAAAAAAAGTAAATATTAGAATATGGAAGCATTAGGACCCTTGTCTTTTGTGGTTTATTTATTTATTTAAATTCAAGTTAGTTAACATACAGTGTAGTATTGGTTTCAGGAGTAGAACCCAGTGATTAGAGCAATTGTACAGTTGTTGGTGAGAAGGTAAAATAGTGTAGCCACTATGGAAAATAGTATAGAGGTTCCTCAAAAAATTTAAAATAGAACTACCATGTGATTCAGCAACCCCAATTCTGAATATTTATCCAAAAGAATTGAAATGAGAATCACAAGAAGGTATTTGCACTTCTGTGTCCATTGCAGTATTATTCACATTAGCCAAGCTATGGAAACAACCTAAACGTCCACTGACAGATGAATGGATAAAGGAAATACATACAATGGAATATTATTTGGCCTTTAAAAAAGAAAGAAACCCTGCCTTACTGCTATAACAAATTAACACAAAATTAGTGGCTTTAAAGAACACAAATTTATTATATAACAATTCTGGAGGTCAGACGTCTACAATGAGTGTTATGAAGCCAAAAAATAGATGTTGGTGGGGCTGTGTCCCTTCTGAAGGCTCTAGGGACAAATCTATTTTCGTGTCTTTTCTAACTTCTAGTGGCTGCCTGCATTCCTTGGCCCATATCTCCTTCTTCCATCTTCAAAGCATCACTCCAACCCCTGCTTCAATTGTCACATCTTTCTTACTCTGACCTTCTGCTTCCATCTAAGGACCTTCTGATTATATTGGACCCACAGAGTTGATCAAGTATAATCTTCCCATCTCAAAGTCTCTAATAATATCTGGAAAGTTCCTTTTGTCATATAAAGTAATATTCATAGGTTCCAGAGATTACTATGTGGACATCATTGAAAGAACCATTGTTTTGTTTACCACAGTCATCAAAGATGATACAGTATTTCCAAGGTGTTCTTGGACACTTGATCTTGGAATCCAGCCATCTTTTGTTGATTCCCTTCCTTCAAGCCAACTGCCCCAGGTGATGTGGAACAGCAATGAATGGCCTGGGCTGATCCCTACCCAAATTATAGATTCATGGGCAAAATAAATACCCAAATTATAGATTTGTGGGCAAAATAAATAACAGCAAGTAGGATGATAATTTATCCTAAAATTCTTACCAGACCACCTTCTGTTTAATTCACTTTACTATTTATGTTAGGTGTAACGGTCCATTATTCTATCTTTTTGTGTATTTCCTCCCACATTCCTGTTAAAATTCAACACTGCACAAATTCAATTGTCTGCATCTTATGCTTTTGTACCCAGACTGTTGAACAGTACTAAATAAAATCCTCTAATATTAAAGATAGTGACCATGTCCCGCTTTCCAACCTTAAGTAGGCTCTTGATGTCACTAAACAATTTTTTTTTTTTTTTTCTTTTTTTTTTTTTTTTTAGGTAGGCTCCACACCAAACATGAGGCTCAAACTAATGACCCTGAGACTAAGATTCACATGCTCTGCATACTGAGCCAACCAGGCACCCCTCTTTCCCATTTTTAATTTTCCTCAAACCTCAGACTTCAGCATCTCCCTCTTAGCCACTGATAGCTATTTCTACTTAAAGAAAATAGAAATAATTGATGGTGGAATTTCCTCAAAATGTAGGTTATTCAATAAATAGTTTCAGGATGACTGGCTTTCCATATAGAGGAAAGAAGTTGTATATTTCACCTCACTTTCAAACCAAAAATAAAATATAGATTAAATTTAAAAATCTAATCATAGTACAAGACAATGTGAGTGTCTTTATAATTTCAAAATGGAGAAATTTTGTAAAGACTATGAAGCCCCAAAATACAGCTGTGATTTCATAAAAAGTAAAAGAATCTGGATGAAGAAAAGCTCCATAATCAAATGACAAACACATATGATAGGCAAAGCAGAATTTCTTTTGATTAGAGAGTTCTATAAATGAATAAGGATAACACTAAAAGTCCGAAAGTAGGCAAGATCTATGCAGACAGAACCTAGAAGAAATGTGAATGTTCTTTAATTTTGAAAAGATAATCTTACTTATTATCCAAGAAATGTAAAGTAAAATGAAATGCCGATACTTCCATATCAGATTAACAATGATCAAAAAATATGATGATAGGGGTACCTGGGTGGCTCAGTCAGTTAAGCATCTGACTCTTGATTTCAGTTCAGGTCGTGATCTCATGGTTTACGGTTCAAGCCCCACGGTGGGGTCTGGCTGACAGTGGAGAGCCTGCTTGAGATTCTCTCCCCCTCTCTGTCCCACTCCACTCATGCACTCTCTCTCTCTCTCAAAAATAAATAAACTTTTTTAAAAACTGATTAAAAAAAACTATGATGATACACTATAGATACATTACTAAAAATCAACTGGACAGTATCTGTAAAAGTAAAAAAAACATGTGCTCTTTGACCCAGAAATTTTCTCCCAGGACTTTGTCTTTCAGATATCTATACAAAGCCTTCAGTATAAGAATATTCCCTGTAAAATTGTTTGGTAGCAAAAGGCAATACAGTCCCTGATGAGCTAAGGGGTTAACTAAGATCTTACTTTGCAAAGTACTTAGTGACCTAGTGGAGTCTGGAAGCCCATCCAAGTCAGGTCAGGAGGTAAGCACGACCCAGGACCTGAAGAAATGGGTAGGGGTGAGTCAGATAAAGAAGGATCATAGATAAGAGGATTCACTGGAAATGTAACATCAAATGGGAAAGTACAAGAGTTTGGCACATTTGAGAAACAACATTCAATATCACCAGTAGAAAAATGGCAAGAAGTTAAACTGCAAGGATAAGTAGATCTGACTGCGCAAATCACAAGGAGAAAACACATAAGAAATTTGATCTTTGGGGTGCCTAGTTAGCTCAGTCAGTAAAGCATCCGACTCTTGATCTCAGGGTCATGAGTTCAAGCCCCACATTGAACTTTAACCTATGGACAATGGTGAGCTATTAAAGGGCATCAGATATGTTTTTGAATGTCACTCTGCTGCGTGGAAAATTAATTCTATGGGAATAGACCAGAAGTCAGATCATTTATCCAGTAATATTTACTGGTACCTAGTATGTGTTAGATACTGTCTATTTGCTTTAGGAAAAGAAGAAAAAGGGGTGCCTGGGTGGCTCATCAGTTAAGTGTCCCACTTCGGCTCCGGTCATGATCTCATGGTTCATGGGTTCAATCCCCACATCAGGCTCTGAGCTGACAGCTAGGAGCCTGGAGCCTGCTTCAGATTCTGTGTCTCCCTCTGTCTCTGCCCCTCCTCAGCTCATGCTCTGTCTCTGTGTGTGTCTCTCTCTCTCTCTGTCTCTCTCAGAAACAAACATTAAAAAAAAATTTTTTTGAAGAAGAAGAAAAAAACATAATAATCTAAATAAAAGCAGAAGATGGCCCATAGCCTGGTTTGGACAATGGATGAGTGACCTTGGTATTCCCTGAGATAAAGAACTTGGGTGAAAGAGCCCATTTGCCAAGTGAAGTAAACACATTTGGTTTGGAACATACTGAGTTTGAGGTGGAGATATCAGGTAGAATCTTGTATATACGGGTCCTCAGGAGAAGGCTCTGGACAACACATACACATCTGGGAATAGTGAATGTGCAGATGGTAACTGATCCTTATTGACCAGTCATGTAACAACTACCAAGGTTGGGGCGCCTGGGTGGCTCAGTTGGTTAAGCATCCACCTTCAGCTCAGGTCATGATCTCATGGTTTGTGAGTTCAAGCCCTGTGTTGGGATCTGCTGACAGCTCAGCTTTGGAGCCTGCTTTGGATTCTCTGTCTCCTTCTCTCTCTGCCCCTCCCCAACTTGTGCTCGCTCTCTCTCTCTCTCTCTCAAAAAAAACAAAAAACCACCAAGGTTTTTTTTAATAATCACTATGCCAGAGACTACAGAAATGTATGAAGACAGTTCCTATCTTCACAGAGCTTTCAGTCTAGCGAGAAAGAATCACACTTATGCGCATATAGTTACAAACTGATTTCATTATGCTAAAGAAAAAGTAGCACAGCTTTAATAATAAGATAGAGGTACAGAAGGTAATAAATGACTCTAACAGTGGATTCTATCAAGGACTACATGAGTGAGAGGCCAGTGACGTTACCTTTCCGTACTGTTGCCAAAAATCATCATCATCATCATCATCATCATCATCATCGTCCCAGCCCCAGATCTCCCCAAAGAGAAGTATATCTAGGGAAGAGTGTTCAGACCTTTCAGAAATCAGCTGTGAAATGAAGGGATTACATTTCTGAGGGAGTGCCAGGCTAGGATGTACTGAAGGTGTGGATGTGGTATCTGTAGAAGGAAAGGGCTGAACTTTGGACTGTTTTAATCCTTTAGGCTTTTGCTTCAAGGGTTTTGGCATGCTGCCTCCCAGGCACATGCAGGATCTGGTCTGTGTCTGCTGAGGCTGACAGGTGAAAATTTGAGTGATCAGAAGCCTGGGCTTGGGAATTGAGCACCATGTGTACTTCAGCTCAGGCCCTGTATATCCACATTAGCCCTTAACCTTAAATACCAGTTCATGCTCACACTACTGACAAGAAAGCATCGTCCACAGTTTGGGATGCCCTGCCTCCTTTCTCACCATCCCTGGAACCGTCCCTCCAGATCCTCTCTTTTTGCTGTTATTCGTGATTTCTATGGAAATATCCCCTGAAACTAGGGTGGGGGTCCAAAAAGTGATGGCAATGTAAAACAGAAGGCCTCAGAACCTAGAGACATGAAGACATGCACTCTCTTTACA